CGGAGTGACCAGTTGCCCTAGCTCTAATTAGACTCTCTAGACTCTCGACAGCCGCATGCTACGTGCCTCGCGTCGCTGCCTCTCTTCCTCTAGTCGCGCCCTTTCCTAAACGGATATCATGCCCGACCCGCTCAAGTAATCACTTCGGCTGCAAACGCACGCCTCCTGCTCTGCCTTGGCTTGCTCCTGCCACAGACTGTAAGCACCGTCAACTTTAACACTTAACCTAGCACGCGTCGCACATGCCAAGCAGCATGCTGTTGCTTTTCCTAACTTTGCGGCGCTCCTCTTGTCTGCGCGTCTCTGCAGCCGCCTGCATCTTTACATAGTGAAACATACAGTATTGTGGCTTGGCAGACGCACGCCAACATGTCACCGAAGTGGAGACTGCAGTCTTGCATGGAACATCATGGAACCTCCTGTCGCTTCCGCTCCTCCTCCAGGCGTGCGTTCTCCTGCTTGCAAAACAGTCTAAGGTTTTGATCCTTGTAACGACTCGGGGCGCAAAGCTGCGTTCTTGCCCAGGACTGCCTCTTCCTCCGCACGGGCTCTCTGAAGCGCCTCCTCTTCCTGCGGAAGCCACGGAAGATGCGACGCCCTCCCGCCGCACCCGCCGCTTCGCCAACTACTGTATCTGAGGTTAACGATGCATAAAGCACGCGCACCTCTTGCCGTCGCAACTCTTCTTCCAGCCGTCTTCGCTCCTGTGCACCGTTCGTCGAAGCCGTCCGGCTGACATGGACACATGAGACTCCAAGAAGACATTGTTGCTGCCGTGTCACCTCCTGTGTCTGCCTCTCCTCCTCCAAGTGTGCGCTCTCCTGCGCCGGCTACCACGGCTATCTCCACACTGTGTAAATAAGAATTTGAGCGATCGCACTCCGCTTTACCGAACACAGAAGCTTTGCAATTCACGTGCAGCTGCAGAAACTGTGCTGGCTGAGGTCTGGTCCACGGGCTTTGCCGTGTCCACGCTGTGCACATCCACTGGAGCCTCGTAGTCTCAGCTGCTTAAGCTGCGCATAGCATAGCAGTAACAGTAGGTAGCAGTGCATTTTGCAGCGTTAGTAGGGGTGGTAGTAGTAGTAGTAGCAGCAGCAGCAGCAGCAGCGCCAGCACAAGCACCAGCACCCCGACCCTTTCCCCTCGCACTCTCGGGTTCCGTGAACTTGGTTCAACGGTCCTAACCAGTAAAGCTAGGATCCCAGCCAGACTCAGCTTGGAGAGGAACTTGTCAATTTCCTCAGGATGTGTCTACGTGCGGGGATGGTAAGCGAAAGTGCTCAAACCCAACCGAGCCCAGAGGTGAAGTTTATCACAAGGGCTGATACACGAGATAGCTAGCTGTCCTGATCAGGCGGACTTGAACGAAAACCTATACACTGGGCCCTTGATGAAGTTATCGCTGCGGCTGCAATTCGTCCACTAGAGGAAGGTGGAGATGTAGAGGGGCGGCTTGCACGCTGAAGTTGACTTTCCCGAACGCCGGTCTCGCTCCAAAAAGATGTTACACAAGTTGCAATTTGGTCAAGAAAAGCCTTCGAGGGATAACCGGGAAGCCAACACGGCTCAAACCGAAAAGATCACGAACAAGCACCACAAATCGGAGTGCTTTCGGCCTCCGCTTCGATTCGGGCATTCTCGGCCTCCACGAACATGCACAGATCTCTGGGTTTGAAGGTTGCAGAGTGTGCGGGCTTGGATTGGAAGCTCACAGTTCAGGCTGCTACAAGGGCTTTATCGCCGCTCCTCTTCGGCCTGCGCCTTCTCCAATGCCGCTCGCTCCTGTCCGTGACGGAGAGACGCGCAGCCCTACACACCACCGCCGCCACCGCCTCTTCTTTTCGCATCTCTGCCTGCCGGCATCAGGCAAGAGGCAAGGTCTCCGAGGCAGTGCTATCCAGCGGGCGCTGTATGACGCTTGCTCTGGCCACCTCCTGATGCGATCTTTCTTCCTCCAATCCTGCTCGCTCCTGCGCGCTCGTGCATGCGCCATAGGATGCCAACAGATATAACTACCTTTTCTGACAACTATATATATATATATATATATATATGTATTTATGTATATGTACATATATATAGATATATAGCGCAGGCACGAATGTGACCCACCACGCTGCCCACCTCTTGTCTTCGCATCGAATCCACTATATGTTAAGTCACGATATATGAATCAAGTAGAACTCTCACTTGCCCAATTGCTGCACAACAACGATCTTGCAGCCGCGCCTCTTGTCGCTTCCTTTCTTCCTGCATGCGCACTCGCACTCTATCGCTAAGGAATCTTGCAGCTCCAGGTCGACACTGAAGGAACAACCGGCTGTTGCAAGCGGAGCATCCGAAAATCTGCACATGTCCGCCTCTTTCTCCGCACGTGCTCTCTCGAGTGCCTCCTCTTCCTGCTCAATCAAAGAAAGGACAACTTCGAAGCGTTCAGAATGACCAGTTGCCCCAGCTCTCTCCAACCGCATCCCACGTGCCTCGCGTCGCTGCCTCTCTTCCTCTAGTCGTGCCCTCTCCTACACACGGATATCATGCCCGACCCGCTCAAGTAATCACTCGGCTGCAAACGCACGCCTCCTCCTCTGCCTTGGCCTGCTCCTGCCACAGACTGTAAGCACCGTCAACATTAGCACTGAACCTAGCACTCGTCGCACATGCCAACTGACAAAGAACGAGTGGATCGCAGCATGCTGTTGCTTTTCCTAACGGTGCGGCGCTCCTCTTGTCTGCGCGTCTCTGCGGCCGCCTGCATCTCTAGATATCTATTTAGAACAACAGAGCTTGGCAGACGTGTGAGGCCACTGAAGTGGAGACTGCAGTCTTGCATGGAACCTCCTGTCGCTGCCGCTCCTCCTCCACGCGTGCGTTCTCCTGCGGTTTGCAACACCAGTCTAATGTTTTGATGCTTGTAACGGCTCGAGGTGCAGAGCTTCGTTCTTCCCCAGGACTGCCTCTTCCTCCGCACG